ATTAGGAATCAGATTTTATCATCTTTATTGATCAGTATCTGAAGCAGCAGCAGAGAGGAGTCGGTTTTTCTGCGTCTCAAAAAGACAAAGACTGAGGCAGACAGTAAAAATTGGTGGAAATGTTTATTTTTTTTGGTGGCCACTCCAACCACTCAGGGGGGGGGGGAAAAGACCCGCACACACAGATCCATACAGTGATGACACGCACAATAATAATGGACACACAAGCAGAGATTGAAGCCCACGGTTCGAGTGAAGATTTTTTATCTTTTATTTTGCTTTCTTATTATTATTTTGGGGAGGACGAGTGGGGTAACGCTCTCTCTCCCTCCAGCGACCATGGGACTCGGCGAGTTGCCATGGAAACAGCCCAAACTGCATTGGAGGAGTGATTGAGATTGGGGTGGAGGGGGGTGTGAGAGAGACAGAAAGGTAGCAGAGATTGAAAGAATAAGACAGAAAGCGAGAGGGTGAGATATTTTGCTCCGAAAAGAAGGCCCTCTAATGGTGACTGTTGTTTCCTCCCCACTCGGTGTGAACGGCCTGGTGTGTGCGTCTCTCTCTCTCTCTGTGTGTTTGCTAAGAAAGGGAGACTTGTCAGAGTGAAGAGATGAAGAAATGCAGGTGTGTGATTGTCTGCATTTCAGGGTTTTAAGTGGGTTGTTCTTATGTTTAGGCAGAGACCTATGTGGTGAATTTTTCATTTTTTAGCAGACCTGAAGATTTTAGTTCAGGTCAAAGGCTACTGATGGACAGACACATGCATTTATTTGCATAGGCCAAATATTTTCCAGTTTAATGCAATAACCTTTTTTTTTTAAAGTTACTGTAAATGTATCTGAATTAATATATGTTGAATCATTTCTAAATGCACATGCATCCCTTCTTCAGTACCTTGTGTAAATTGCTTTGGTTCATGTCCCTGTGTGTGTGTGTGTGTGTGTGTGTGTGTGTGTGTGTGTGTGTGTGTGTGTGTGTGTGTGTGTGTGTGTGTGTGTGTGTGTGTGTGTGTGTGTGTGTGTGTGTGTGTGTGTGGGTGTGTGTGCTCCTCCCTGGGCTAGTATCAATGGTAAGCTGTGATTCAGGCTGTGAAAACACTTGATTTGGCAGCCAGAGCGCCTTCCTCTGTCTCCAACGGGCTCAGCCAACAAAAATCCATCGCTTATTAACTGATGCTTTTATTGCAGAAGGAGGAGCACGCACACCTTGGTGTAGTTTCTCCGCACGTGTATCTCTTGGTTGGGGTTACCGTCAAATTGTGGGGGGTTTTTTGGAAGAAGGTGGCCTGCCTGTAAAGCTAGCCTCTGGCAGATTTGCGTCTATCTTGTAAAAGTCGAATGAGTCGGTTGGACATGGTTGATCTAGCAGGACTAAATTGGAGAAATTTCTGTTTTTTGTTCTAAAAAGCACCTCTGGATGTTCTGCCTTTAAAATGTGCACATAAAAGGTAGCTCCTCATATAAAGGTAATGGTAATTTTGATGTTTGACACCAACCTTCCTCATAGTGCAAAACATATATACCCAACATGTACCAGTTGCTTCACTGTCTGACCCCAAAATCTTTCCTATTTTTATTTATTATAATATTACTGATAGAATTATTCTAATATTTATTCTTACTTATGCCTCCTTTTCAGACCTAAATAATCTTAATTTAATGTAAATGTTTAAGTGTCATTACAGCAATTGCTTTAGTAGCTTCCATTTAACAAAATAAAAGCACATCTTGATCTATTTCCAATAAAATTTTGAATTTTGAGTCAACTGCACACCTCAGTCCATTATATTGTTATTCTTTATATGCCTTTAAAAAGGTTGTGATTTTTAATATAAAATATATCTTCCAAATAATCTTGAAACCCACTAAACACTAGGGGTTTTGGAAAAAAAATCATTTTGCCAATATATATTGTGATTTTTGGCGTCCCAATATAATATCAATCCTTAAGTTTCTAATATCGTTTTTTCAGAATAAATAAATCACTACTTCTGCATCCCCACTCCGGTAGACGGGGTCTTGGAGCCCTTTTCTGTGCATGTAATAGACGCAATCACAGTAGCCGATGCTGAGTGACTCAAACCCCAAACAACATGGCTACCAAAACAACAAAATAAGTGAATGATGAATATATTCTACTGAATGTACAGCACTTGCTCTTTGATCTCTACATTTAATTCTGATATTACCTGGGTAGAATACCATAATATATCTTTCTATTGCAATTTGTGTCCATATTGTATCGTGACCCAAGTATTGCGATGCGTATCGCATCACAACAATATTCACCCCTATTTAATACTGAATATAGATCGAAACTAACTAGCGCCTGGATTTAAACGTGTTGATTTTAATTCATTAATTAGAAACATTTTAACACGTTAAAAGCGTTAACTAAGCTAATTGGATATTCTCACACAGATACTTCAGTAAAATCCCAAGCAGGAACCTTTGTATTCACTGTTTCTTGTACACCCATAATTCTGAGTATCACAGGTGCATGATCACTGAGGATATTCAAGCTTAAAAATCATTGCTCAGTTCAAATACCTCAAATCTTTATGGAGCTCTAAGCTACAGCGGAAGTGCCTCTGAGGTCGCCATAATAAATACTATCTGAATGCTGGCGGGTAGAAAGGAGGTTGGACCAGGAACACGGATTATTTCCGTTAGTAACTGGCTTAACCAGGAACACTAGCCTCAGTGGGAAATGTTGCACTAGAGGCTGAACATGGAATAGCAATTGTTGAGCAATTCTTTATGCACAGCTGAACTCTCTCAGTGTGTCGGTATTTAAAATAAAACTTTATCTTCTGTTTACAGCAAATGTAAAAGTTTTCACTTTGTTTTTTTTTTACGCATTGATGTTATCTTTTGTTTGCTGTTAATATTTATATCATATTCATCTTAATTTAGTCCCCTATCCTCTAGTTTCCCCCCCTGGTCAATCTTCATTTTTGAAGTAATTTTTATTATTCCCCTTTAGTTTCATTTAAGTTCTTTTCTAGTTTTAGTTAAACCCTGTTTACGCTTTCTTACCTTGTTCCTTTCCCTTTGCTATTTTGTCCACACCTGCTCCCAATTAGCTGATTACTCACTAATTGTTCCGTCTCCCATATATACTCCTCTGCAGTTAGATATATTTATCATATTTAGTGGAAGGAAATGTGCAATAATTAATGTTCATGTACTGTTAACACTTATAGATAAAAAAAGTTGTGCATAACATATCAAAGGTTTCTAAATAACAGTAAATTATTCTTACTTCTAACCAATCTGATGCTTGAATAACCTTTATAATCGATAAAAGACAAAAAATGTGTGTTGCTGTGGTCATATGAATATTTATCTAATAATTGGGAAGCAGAAAGGTTTTTTTTTATTGAAAATTTGGTTTACTTTGTCGATATGATGTTTGATTAAAATGTGATTAATTGAAATGTATGAATAACAGACCCTGTAATTTACTCGACTGAAAATATTACCATAAAATACAAAGACCTGTGTATTTTTTTCAACATTTTCGTTCACCCTTTTTTATATGACGTATCTTTGAACATAAACAAATTGTTTTGTAAATTACTTATTTTATCATTGACGAATAATAATAATTAAAAAACTCATACATTTTTGCATGTTAATTTAAAAGGTTGTGGATTAAAATTATGATAAATGTTTAAATATTGAAGATAATTGTTAGGTATAAAATAGTGAGGACAAACAGTAAATAATGTAAATATTTAACCCTAAAACATTGTTTTAAGCAGTTAATTAAAAGCCAAATGTTTATTCCTGCCATTAAAGACGGACCTGGGATGAAAGCCTTAAACTTTTATTTAATGTTCATCATTTATCTCTGTATGGTTATTTCCTCTGAGATTAAGCATCTCATTAACAAAGCTATCCTGGCCAAGACTGGCAGCAATTAACAGAGCCTGAACTTAAGATAAAAACTTAACACTTGAACTCATCCTTCAGAGACTTGAGCCCAGACTTTGATCAGGGGAAAAATGTCGTATAAAGACGGGGTTTCTAAACTTCATATCAGAGCCAAAACAAAAAAGACACCAATAGACATTTTTACAAATAATGTTACATTGCATTGATAGTTGGTGTCAAATATTAAAAAGTAGCTTAAGTTTGTCCATGTGTGGAAACATTTTAGTTAAGTTTGAAGCTGAACTTTATTTGACAATATGCCAACATAAAAATTTTATAGTTAAAATGAAGTTAAAAAGGATGTGACAGGACAAATGAAAGCGTCTCAGGCATCCATTGTTTGCAATTAACTACACAGGTGTTGGTTACATGTCTGCATGAGACTTCTAGGAGTTTTCAACTTTTAAGAGCTAGATTCTAATTAGGTCAGACCTTGGAACAGATCCCTTAAAAACAGAGTACAGGTCTGAACTGCTGCTGTCACATTACTGGGAAGAACAGGGTTGGATTGGCTTCTTATCTGCTGTTACATGAATTCTGAAGAATTGCATTGTTAAACAAATAACGGAGGAAACTATGGCTTTCCCTTCCATAATTAGCTTCAGCACCTCATGCTCTGAAGTCTCACACAGCCTGTACACACTAATATTTCTCTGCAGTCTACCAAATGATGGGATTTGCTTAGTTTGAACAAGCTGCTCTGGCTTTTTCACTTAGTTTATGTTAAATGAATATTAATGAGGCTTGGCTAGAGTAAGTAAAGTAAATAAAAAACTACATTTTTTTGTATTAACATAAAATTTTAAATGAAAATGAACAACAGGATCAAATTGCTTGAATATAGAGCAAAGAAATTGCATTAATTATTAGTATTGCGTGAATAATATAACCTTTTACACTTTACAGATTGAAAATGAGACAAATTTAGATAAAACTAAACCAGAATGGTTTTATATATACTTCATCAATAGATATAGACGTCCAGCCATAGAATAATACCAATAAGAGAAAGTAACAACACAGAAATATGTTGACTGAGATTTGTATTTGCTGTAAACGCAGGAAACGTGTAGAGGACCTCTTTTAACCAGCTGAGCAGCAGTGCCCAGGAACAGATCAGAAAGCGCAGCAATCCAAAGGAAACATGGTAAGGAGAACAGCTTTTTGTTTTACTCAAAACTGGATTTATCGCAGATGTTGATTAGATAAGTTTCAGGTGAGAATCCATGCACTAGAACATAAACATTGAAGAAAATCTATATATATTTTTTACCATACAGAGAAGCGCCTATGAATATATGTATATATATATGTATGTATAGATGTGTATATATAGATATCCATGTATATGTGTGTGTGTATATTATATATATATATATATATATATATATATATATATGTATGTCTATGTATATATATATATGTATGTCTATGTATATATATATATATATATGTATGTCTATGTATATATATATATGTATGTCTATGTATATATATATATATATATATGTGTACATATATCTATCTATATATATATGTATATATATATATATATTCATTCAACTATATTTTATCCACTTTTTATCTTCTAACTCTGCTTTTCTTTTCTTTTTTTTGTAGTAATTTTTTTAAGCGCACTGATTTCTTTTTTTTTTTATAATTTCTTTTTATCGCCAGGAAATCCAAAGCACTTCAATTAATTTTCTTTCGATTTAAAAGAACTAAACTGACATTTAATAGCATTTCTGAGCCAAATCAAGCTCTTTTCAACCAAAAAAATGCCTTGCTTGTGGCCAAATTAAAAATTAAATGGACGGTGGCCTTTTTTTTTTTTTTTGACTGAAAAATACATTAAATTAATCTTTAATAACTTGTGGTATTCACTGAAAGATTAAGAGCTTTCACCAGCTATTTTAGTCAGACACAAAAAAACGCTTTATGCTTCAAAGGTTCCTTTTTGTAAGGGAGGCATGAACTCTTGGAAAGCTCTTCTTACCTTGGCTGCAGCTTATCTTTAGAAAAACCATGTGGTTTTAGATAAAGCATCTGTAATCTGCCCACATCAGGCATACTGATATTTGTCCACCCTTTAAATGCACTAATGCTTGCCAGTAGCCTTGTTGATGGCATAAAGCACTGAGAAAACAATGCATGTTGACGCTTTGGGATTCATTCGTTACGGCTGGTTCATTAGACCAGGCACAGGTTTTACTGCAGTTGCCCCTCAGCATGACTGCAAACTTCAGGAAAAAGTCAGAGGTGTTATTTTCTCAAAGAACTCATAGCAAAAGATATTCAAAAGTTCATCTGGTTTGGTCAAAGCTTTCTAAAACTGGAATATCATCACCTGTTTTTGTCCTTCACTTGGAAAGTTTATCTGCACTGAGCACCTGTTGTAAAACACAAATGTTTTGCCATCATATGGTACAGAACTTTACTAAAAAAAACAAGTGTATCTGTATTTTTTAAAGAAGGTTTCGTTAGGTCAGAGAAGATGAAAGAAAAAATATTGATATTGGGGTAAATTTTGGTTGGTGAAATAAGCCTCTTCACCAAAATGTAACTAAAAATAAGGAAAAATGTGAAAAACTTTTACAAGAGGACATCTTCAGAATTGTTCCTCTTAATGTTTTCTTTTTTACGTCTATCAGTTGCGTATAAAATCCACTTAAACAGGCAACATTTGTAATACAACAAATAAGCACTAAACCTGACATGGCTGTTTGTTTAAAAGTGAAATATTGTTTAAAATCTCTTTACAGATATTTTAAAATCATCAAGTCTACAGCAGAAAAAAACACTTAATAAGTAAAAAAAAAAACTCTTAACTTTCTGATTGTTAAGACTGATGAGAGGTTTATAAAAAAAAATAAAAATAAAAAATGAATAAAAATTCCTTACATGTAGTACGGTCTCTAATGCCAGGCCCGCAGCATCATTGATCCTTCACTTTACTTAAAGGAGGCATGTTTGTATTCCCTAAAGGGTCCTGAGACATCAAGTGGGGGGTTCTTTTTTTTGTTTTTTTTTTGTATGTGACCCTTAAAGCATAAGGTGGGTCAAGATATATCATGAAATAAATAAATTTAACATAAAATAATTAAATATTTATTTATTTTTGATTCAAATATAAAATATACATCTAAATTTCAAAATATACTCTAAAATAACTGTCGTTTTAAAAAATTAAAATACTGAGTATTAAGTAAACAATTACATTTCATTTTAAAAATGCCTGCTTTATTAATATAATTATCTCATTTTATATTTATAAAATAAAAATAGAGTAAAGCTATGATTTTAAGGGGTTTTTGGGTCACAGGTTGAAAAGTCCGGGAATCCCAGTAGAGCTGAGCTAACTCCAGGCCTTTATGCTTTCAATGGAAGGTCAAATAATCTAATGATTTATTTTCCCTTTTTCTAACATTTCTCTGGTCTTAAATCTTCATCCAGTCTAGTGACTCTAAGAAGGTTTAGCTTGTTGATCATTTTGATATATGTTAAAGATGTATATATTCTCAACAGATTGATAGACATGTCAAAAAATGTTTAAAATAACATGTCGTCCTTTAAAGATATTTAAACCTTAAATCTAATTATTTTCCCTTGCTTTGAATATGAAATTCTCCCACTTCAAGTAAAGCAAGTAATCCTATTTTAAAGCTTTTTAGGTACCTCACCAGGATCCTAACAACCTTCTCTGCCTCAGCAGGATTCAGACACTTTTTATTAAGTTTATGGTCAGTCTGTGGGTCACATACTGTTTTTATTATCCTGCAGAATTACTCAGTTATCCCTGATCCTAAAGCTTTACTGCTGTTTACATGGGCAGGTTTTTTTTAAACATATTTTTCTGTTATGGATGATATCTTCACTGAGGAGAAGCTGTTTTTATTTTTTACCTCTTAAGAGTAGCTGAACAGGCTTTCTAAGCATCTCGACCCTCATGCTTCAGCTGTGTGCAGAATCACTTATTACTCTGACATACGTGTTTTTGACAGTGGGAAGCAGCTGGAGAACCTGGTGTAAATCCATTCCTGCACAGATAGTCCACACAGAGCAGCCTGGGATTTCAGCTGAACCCATCTCTGGTGTCTTTTTCTAAATACACTGAAATCTTTCCCTTTTTTACCAAACTCAGACTAAATTCCTCCCCTTTTCTTCTTTCTCCCTCTGTGCTATCTCATTGATTGAAGCAAATCAAATTTTGATTTGACTTTCAGCGCTAAAATTGTATAAACATGGCTTTTTTTTTTCTCAGCGATGCTACTGCTTTGCTGCATCTCGTTGCATCATACAAATTCACTGTTTTTTTCTCTCGGTATTATGAGCTCAAAGTCACTCTGATGTTTGAACTCTTCGCTTTTAGTTCATGTTAGGGAGGATGTATGTCTTGATTCTGTTCTTCCCCTTATCAGAGATTTAGAGGCATTTTTAATATTTTTAGAGTGACCTTAATATCTCTTTAAATGTTCATGTTAAAGTGAAATGAAATCAGAGTGCCTGCCCCAAATATTAAAATAATTTGTTTCAAGGCAGCTCTTCATTTTTGCCTAACCCTGCCTGGGTTCGATGTGACCTTTCCACAGACACTGTAATTAATTGTACCGCTCACACAGATGGGTGGAAGGTGTCGGCAAACTTTTATTGCATTCAGGTGCAAAACGGGCGTCTTTATCGGAGTTTTCCACTGAACTCGGACACCTTTTGTCAAAAATGGTTGTCAAACCTGTTGCCAATGGCCTTTTTATTTTGGAGGGATAAAAAAAAATGTGTGGAAAAAGAAAAGTTTTACTTTAAGAAATCAACACAGAGTAACCTTGATTACGGTTTTTAAAAATACCTTGTTGCTTTTCCCTGAACCCATCCTCAGCTCAACATTTGGATTTATTTCTAAATCGTAAGTTTGGTAATCAGGATAGAATTTTGTTTAAAGAAATATTTGTATTATTATGTTAACAGGATTCTCATGTGGGATTTAAAAGCACCGATCTGATGGCATAATCAGCCATTCTGTTGCTCAGCATGTAAAGACATTTAGAGTGTTATTTCCTAGATGTTTATTATTTTTCCTTAATTTTAAATCTCTTTTTGGCAGAGCTATGTTTTTATTATAATGCTGATTCCTCATAGGTCTCAGTTATTCAGCAATCTTTTTTTTTCTTCTTGTTATTGTCACTTGTTTTTGTGGCAAAAAAGTAAAAATATAGATAGCAAAGATGATCAATATGTCAGACAGAATAGATCAAATATCCTTTGGAAACTCTATAGAGTGAAGTTGAGCCTCGTTGGCTCATATAACAGAAGCATTAAATGCTTCATTTAAGTTTGTTAAGTTTTTTAAGTAACTGCAGGTTTTTATCCTTTTTTACCTTATTTATTTTATGTCTTTTTTCTGTTGCATTCTCACAGAAACACATTTTATATGTAAAATCTATTGACTATATGATCTGGTTGAATTGTAAAGTGCCTTGAGATGACATGTGTTGTGAATTAGCACTATATAAATAAACTGAATTGAATCTATTCCTAACCGTAGTTAGAAAAGAGTAGCTCCCACCTTGCTTTGTGGTCACCATGCAGACGCCTTGTTCATTTTATCTGGACTTAGAAAGAACAGCAGGAGGCTGATTGGCATTAGCGTCCTCCGGATTAATTCTCATTTACACAATGGACTTGTAATTGATGTTTACTGACCAGGTTGGGCTGGCACAAAGGAAAGCAAAAGACTGAAATAAAATATAAAAACTATATTAAAAGTTTAAATATTTTGCGATTTAGAAGAAGCCAATCTCTTGAGCCTGGTGTTCCTCACACTGTGCTAATTACAGATACTTTGGACCCACTGGCATCAATTTGCACAGGTGTAATTAAAGCAAATGCTTATATATTTTCTCTAATTTAGCTAAATTCAGGGTTTCTAATCTTACCGCACATAGAGTGTGTGGATAGAAAAGTATTTGCATTACAAGTTTACTGGTTGGATTAGAGGTTGCGCTAAATGTTTACCTTATTTCACCACTTTTCAGCCTTCTGATGGGACACTGATTTATTCTGAAGCCCAAATGATAGAAATTAGCGATGGCAGGAGATTATGTGGCATTTAGAATAAAACTTTTTGCAGTTAGCATGATTTTGTCTGGCAGAGTTAGCTTAAAGGA